CGGAGAGAATAATAGTTCATCGGAAACAACAACGTCACAAGTTGATATTTTAACAGGAGAACACTTTGTATTTTCTGCTGAATGTCACTCCACCTGCGTCTTGCGACATCTTTCCGAAGTGGCACTCTTAAGGCTGCCAAGTTTAATCAGTAAAAAAGTTGGAATTTGAAGCATGTCATTGATCAAAAATGTACTCGGACTAATTAAGCAGCAGGAGCTGTATCTAATCAGTCAAGGAATTGACTTAACTTCCATGCTGAGGTCTATTAAACAGATAGATTAACAGAGTTGGAAGGAACCTTGTAGGTCATCTAGTCCAACCCCCTGCCTAAGCAAGAGACCCTACACCATTTCTGACAGATGGCAGCCCAGTCTCTTCTTGAAAGCCTCCATGATGAAGCTCCCACAACTTCTGAAGGCAACTTTTGTTCAATTAATCGATTATTCTCACTGTCAGAAAGTTTCTCCTTATTTCCTGGTTGAATCTCTCCTTGTTCAGTTTCCATCCATTATGCCTTGTCTGGCCTTCGGGTGCTTTGGAAAATAGCTTGTCCCCTTCCTCCTCCCTATGGTAGCCCCTCAAATATTGGAAGGCTGCTATCCTGACTCCCCTGGTCCTTCTCTTCCCTAGACTAGCCAGGCCCAGTTTCTGTAACCGTTCTTCATATGTTTAAGTCTCCAGTCCCCTAATCATCCTGGTTGCTCTTCTCTGCAGTCTTTCTAGAGTCTCATGTTATGTGTGAGCTGCCATCTTACGCTTGCTTATGTTTGGGTGCTATGCGGTGACAGACTGCCATGAATTGTGGGGAGGCAAGGACGAAGAAGGGAATGCTTGGGGAAACTAAAGTAAAGGTTGTGCCTTCTTGAGATGCTGCCTCAAGGTCATCCAGCTTGCAGAAGGAGGAAGCTGTATACTTGTCTATGCTTGGTTATGAAAATATCTTGCCTGAACCTGATTGGTGATACCAATGACAGACAGTTAAGGGAGGAAAAAGTAGGCATTTTGGCACATGATTTTTCCATTCTGGCTTTGCATTATTGCAATACACTTGTAAACTATAGCTTTCTCAACAAATGGACTCAAGGATTGTTTCTATTTTGAGGTTTAAGTTGTGGTAGGTCTAACATTATGCCAGAAATGCTAAGTATTCTTACTTAACTCCGAACCTGAAATACTCACTTTTTCTAGAAATTTCCAACTTCTAATACGTGCATCTGTGGGTCTATCCCATTGATTTTCCATGCCCAGTTGACAAAAATATATTTACTTATGGGAGACAAGATAGCAATCAGGGTGTTGAACAGGCTGTAGGTTGCTCATAAGATAGCTGGCATCCTCAGGTATGTTGAAATAAGCTTCTTCTCTCTGTGTGTGTATTTTCCCTCTGTCATCCAATGTCTCCTTTTCAAATTACATTGCACAATCATTTCCCATGGCGTTACCCCCCCAAAAAGCCTTGGCACTTAAGTCACTGAACTACTTTGAATAGTAGTAGAACGCTTGCATTAACTCTCTTACTTCCTCGTAGCATTCGGAGTGAGTAATCGCTCTCCATCAGAAAAACTACTCCATGTCTTATGGAGGATTGAGAACACTGTCACTTCCAATATTTGGGGGGCTGTTGGCTTCTTAGTGGAGGGAAACAGGAATTAAATTTAAGGTCTCTAATAACATTGGCAGCATTGTGGCTAGAATGAGTTCTCTTGTCTGCCAATTGAATAGAATAGAATTCAGGAATAGAGTAGAAATAGAAATGAAATTCTTTATTGGCCAAGTGTGATTGGACACACAAGGAATTTGTCTTTGGTGCAAATGCTCTTGGTGTACATAAAAGGAAAGATATATTCATCAAGAGTCAAGAATCATCAGGTACGACATTTAATAATAATCATAGGGCACAATAAGCAATCAAATCATACTAGGAAACAGTCAATATAGATCACAGGGATACAAGCGACAAAATTACAGTCAATCACAAGTGGGAGGGGATGAGCCATAAGGAGTGATGGGAAGAGTAACAGTAATAGTAGTGCAGACTTGGTAAATAGTTGGACACTGTTGAAGGAATTATTTGCTTAGCAGAGTGATGGCATTCGGTGAAAAAACTGTCCTTGTGTCTAGTTGTTCTGGTGTGCAGGGCTCTATAGCATTGTTTTAAGGGTAGGAGTGGACACAGTTTATGTCCGGGATGTGAGGGGTCTGTAAATATTTCCACAGCCCTCTTTTGGACCCCTGCAGCATACAGGTCCTCCATGGAAGGCAGGTTGGTAGCAATTGTTCTGTCTGCAGTCCTAATTACTCTCTGGGGTCTGTGTCTGTCCTGTTGGGTTGCAGAACCAAACCAGAGAGTTATAGAGGTGCAGAAGACAGGCTCAATAATTCCTCTGTAGAACTGGATCAGCAGCTCCTTGGGCAGTTTGAGCTGTCTGAATCCCACCACTGATTACAATACCTGTATTCCTGGCCTCTCAAGGGTTAAAATTAAAACATTCCCTCCCTAGTTAATGGTCAAGGTTCATTCGCCGATATTACGGTGTTCCCAAACTGTCGGGCAGGGGTCCAACACGACCCTCTTCCAATCTGAGTTCACCCGGAGAACCAGCAGTTGTAAACTTACGCCGTGGAAAGCACTTTGACCAAAAGACCCTGGCAGCTGTATGCACATGCACGTGATTGAACCATCGTCACACCTGTGACAAAAAAAACCCTAGCACTACTTGGGCAGTTTGTACAGGTCCAATGGCGAAGAAAGTCACATTACTTAGGGCTGATGATGTCACTGCGATCTAGTGATTGATAGCGGGGCGTGTGTTTGTGTGCAGGGACGAAGGCAACCTGTTTCGAAACTTTGTACCTGATTAGAGATCAGAGCACGGCTAAAATAAGGTTGACAAAGTCTCTTGTGGATTACTAGGACATTACACAATGGGGAAGGAACCCTGCTTAATATGCTGAGCTGGTTTTAATTGCCTTTTGTCCAGTCCTGCACAGACGGTATTGTAATCAGTAATGGGATTCAAATTGGTTTTACTACCGGGTCTGTGGGTGTGGCTTGGTGGGCTTGGTGTGGCTTGGCGGGTGTGGTGTGGTTTCATGGCTCGGTAGGCATTGCAGGGGAAGGATACTGCATAATTCCCTCCCCACCCCACTAACCTGCTTTCCAGCTCCGTTCTCCTGTGCAGGGCAACCAAAGAAGAACCAGCCGATCAGCTGGGACTCAATGGGAGGCAGAGAAGAGATGGGGTTGGCGGGGCCAGTCAGAGGTGGGATTTGCCGGTTCTCCGAACTACTCAAAATTTCCGCTCCCGGTTTTCCAGAACTGGTCAGAACTGGCTGAATACCACCTCTGATTTAAATATGAGACAGCCGTGTGCTGCAACTGCCAAAAAAGCCAACACAGTTCTAGGCTGCATAAACAGAGGGATAGACTCAAGATCATGTGGGGTGTTAAAAACACTTTATAAGGCCTCGGTAAGGCCACACTTGGAATGCGGCATTCAGTTTCGGTCACCATGATGTAAAAAAGATGTGGAGACTCTGGAAAGGGTGCAAAGAAGAACAACAGATGATTAAGGAACTGGAGGCTAAAACGTATGAAGAACAGTTGCTGGAATTGGGTAGGTGTAGTTTGATGAAAAGAAGGACTAGGGGTGACATAATAGCAGTCTTCCAATATTTGAGGGGCTGCCCCAAAGAAGAGGGAGTCAAGCTATTCTTCAAAGCACCTGAAGGCAAGACAAAAAGCAATGGACGGAAACTAATCAAGGAGAGAAGCAACTTAGAATTAAGGAGAAATTTCCTGACAGTTAGAACATTTTATCAGTGGAACTACTTGCCACCAGAGGTTGTAAATGCTCCAACACTGGAAGTTTTTAAAAAGATGTTGATAACCATTTGTCTGAAGTGGTGTAGGGTTTCCTGCCTAAGCAGGGGGTTGGACTAGAAGACCTCCAAGGTCCCTTCCAACTCTGTTATTCTATTCTATTCTATTCTATTCTATTCTATTCTATTCTAAATTACATTATGTCCACATGACTCCCACCTCTCAAGCCACTCCACTCTTACACAAAAAGGAAGGTATCAGAAAGAAGGCAACATTAAATTCCTTGCTTTCCATAAAGAAGGACATTCTGTGTTAAAATCTCTCTCAGAATCTAACTTTTCTCGATCTCTGACCGAGCCGGACACTTTGGTTTAAACCAGATTGAACGAGACAGAGAATTCCTTCCTTGGAGCTGAAGCGATAAACCTGTTGAGCAATGAGCCAAGCCCGTTTCCATATCCTACAGAAATCTCTTTTCTTTTTTTTTTAGTTGCCCAAATATTTCTAGCTTGGATGGCTTTTGAAATAAGAAGTTGCGTGTAGGACATCCGTTAAGATGTGCCGTGGTAGTTCTCAGCTTAGGACCCCCACATTTCAGCTGCTAAGCGAGACATTTGCCCAGTGAATTTTTTGTCCCATTTTACGACCTTTTCGTGTCACCGTTGTTAAGCAAATCTCTGCCGTTGTTAAGTTGGTCCCACGGTTGCTAAGTGAATCTGGCTTTCCCTGTTCGATTTTGCTGGTCAGAAGGCCGCAAAAGGTGAGCCACCGGGGATACCACTACCGTCGTAAATACGAGTCAGTTTGCCCAGCACCTGAATTTTGATCACATACGGGAATGCTGCAACGGTTGTAACTGTGAAAAACAGTCATGAGTCACTTGTTTTCACTACCCTTGTAACGGTCACTAAAATGAACTGAGTTAAGGTTAAGGGCTATGTGTACCCTAATCTCAGAGGGGTGCTTTAATCCAAAGCAGCCCCAAATCAGTTGATTTTGGAATATAATCAGGAAATATCAGATATTAACAGATAACAAATATTCAGAGTTGGAAGGGACCTTGTAGGTCATCTAGTCCAACCCCCTGCCCAAGCAGGAGACCCTACACCATTTCTAGCAGATCTCTTCTTTTTATTTTTTATTTTTTTGTGGCTCTTAAAACAGCCTTCGGTGCAATAAAATAATTCCGGGGATTGCCGCGGAAAAAAAAGAAACTACTTGGAGCTGGTGTATTTGATGACGGCTTTGGTGCCCTTGGAGACGGCGTGTTTGGCCAGCTCGCCGGGCAGAAGGAGGCGCACGGCCGTCTGGACCTCGCGGGAGGTGATAGTTGAGCACTTGTTGTAGTGGGCCAGGCGGGAATCCTCGAAGATGTTGTTGACGAAGGAGTTCACGATGCTCCTGGTCTTGGAGGAGATGCGGGTGTCGGGGTGGACCTGCTTCAGCACCTTGTAGACATAGATGGAGTAGCTTTCCTTGCGGCTCTTCTTGCGCTTCTTGTCTCCGTTCTTCTGAGTCTTGGGGATGGCTTTCTTGGAGCCCTTCTTGGGCACCGGAGTGGATTTAGTTGGTTCAGGCATTCTGGTCAGCGAGAGACTTCCGCGGAAGAATGAATAAATCTAGCAGATCTCTTGTTGTCCAGTCTCTTCTTGAAAGCCTCCAGTGATGAAGCTCCCACAACTTCTGAAGGCAACTTCTGTTCCATCGGTTGATTGTTCTCATTGTCAGAAAATTCCTCCTTATTTCCAGGTTGAATCTCTCCTTGTTCAGTTTCCATCCATTATTCCTTGTCTGGCCTTCAGGTTCCTTGGAGAATAGCTTGACCCCCTCCTCCTCTCTGTGGCAGCCCCTCAAAGATTGGAAGACTGCTATCCTGTCTCCCCTGGTCCTTCTCTTCCCTAGACTAGCCAGGCCCAGTTCTGCAACCATTCATCGTAGGTTTTAGCCTCCAGTCCCCTCATCATCCTGGTTGCTCTTCTCTGCACTCTTTCTAGAGTCTCAACCTCTTTTTTTATAGTGTGGTGACCAAAACTGGATGCAGTATTCTAGGTGTGGTCTTACTAAGGCTTTATAGAGTGATATTAGTATGTCCCTTGATCTTGATTGTATCCCTCCGTTAATGCAACAGGATTGCATTAGCTTTTTTGTCTGCTGCTGCACACTATTCCATAACTATTTACTCCATAATGATTATTATTTAAAAGAAAATAGATGCAGAATAGTCCCTGCTCAGATGTAGGGCGAAGCACCCACTCTTTGCTGTTAGTGGGAAGAACAAGGCAGCCCATTCTCTTTCCATTCCTTCTTTTTTTAAAAAAAAAATTAGTTTATAATATAAAATACAAAAATGCAAAGGAAAATAGTAGCAAAATATGGGAGGGAGAAAGGAAGGGAAAATTGTAAAATTGAAAAGGGGGAAAAAAAGAAAAAGAAATGACATGGATTTCTTACTCCCTTTGGGGCAGCAGAATAAAATCATAGCATCAAACCTCAACTATTTACTTCTCCATAATAGTATAAATTAGCCATTTCTGTAACAACAGATCTACTGATCGGTAAAGCCCATAATCAGAGTTTCACTTTTCTCTCCCACCTCAAGCACAAAGTCCAGAAGTGGTTTCCAAGTAGAAATAAAAGTATTTTTATATATTCCCCTTTGATCAAAAGAGTCCATTTAACCACCTCTGCTGACATGGTGGGGATTGAAGTGTCCTTCCGCTGCTGTGCCTAAGGTGACCTTGCTGCCCTCAACATATGTAGTTTCTTCCCTTCTTCTTAAAAAAGCGACCTTAAAACCAAAAACGGTGTTCCTCTTATTCCTCCCCCCTTCCTTTTCACCGTCACCTGATTAAAGGTCACCCAGTGGTGGTTGAGACAGCTTCCCTCCGGCTCCTGGATTTCCTTTTAAGGAGATTTGTGAAGGCAGGAAGTGTGTTTTTCTTTCTTTCCTCCCCATCAAAGCTTGATTCGTCCAAGCTCCACCTTAGCTTGGTGTCATCCACACCCATAAAACGTCTGCCTGAGCAGGCCAAGTCTTGCAATGGCTTGTGTCAAGCAGAGCAAAGAGGAGATAATTCCAGCCTTTTAGACTATGAAGATTCTCCATCATCCAAGATCAGCGTTATCGCAAAGGTGCTCTCTTCCCCCTCCCCCACTCCCCCAGGCAATTTGGACTTTCTGGTTTTATTCTGAAGACGTTTCGCTTCTCATCCGAGAAGCTTCTTTGGCTTCTCTCAGGAGTTTCTTCGGCTTCTCCCAGAGCTGAGGAAGCTTCTTGGGGGAAAAAAGCAAAACCTCTTCAAAGAAAAACCATAAAGTCCAAATTGCCTCTTGGGAGGGAAAAAAAAGCACCTTTGGTCTAGCTTCGCAGGAAGACCCTCAGAATAGTAAACTCTTCCCTCCTGGTTCGTTCTCTTACCTGTTGGCGAATAGCTATAGGCAGACCTTGGTTTACAACAGTTCGTTTAATGACCGTTCAAAGCAGGGGTGGGATTCTACCAGATCGGACCGGTTCTATAGAACCGGTTCTCACGATTCTGTGCAGTTTGGAGAACTGACAAATCACGCCACTCAGTGGCCCTCCTCTCCCCTCCCCCATCCACTCATTCCTTACTTGGCATGCAAGCCATCCAACTTGCCTGCGTTGGGCCTTCACCTAATTTTTGGTAAGTTGCTATTTTTCCTTCCCCCTCCCCCCCGACCATCAGCTGTTCCGACTATCAGCTGTGGGAGATTTAGATTAGGTAGAAAACAGGAAATCATTGGATTTCTTGCTTCCTAGCTAATCTAAAAGCAGAGCTGAACCTTCCTTAGGACTGAAGCGTCTATTGTTCAGTGCAGACTCAGGCAGCAGATTGCAGAATGGTAGATCTCTGAGTGAATCTGTGATTCTGTGAGCAACTCAATCTGCCTGCCTGCTTTGCCCGATTTTGGGTAAAAGTTGCTCTTTTTTAAATTAAAAAAAAAATCAATATTTACATATTTATAATATTTACATACAAGTCACACGACCACCAAGCCACGCCCACAAATTAGGCCATGTCCACAGAACCGGTTGTTAAGAAATTTGAATCCCACCACTGGTTAAAGTTACAACGGTCCTGACAAAAGGGAACTTATGACCAGTTTTCACACTTACGGCCATTGTAGCATCCGTGTGGTCCCATGATCAAAATTCAGACATTCGGCAACTGATTCATATTTATGATGGTTGCAGTGTCCCCGGAGGGGGAGGGAAAGGGGGGTTACGTTATCCCCTTTTGCAAACTTTTGACAAGCAAAGTCAGCAGGGAAGCCAGATCCCCAAGTGTATTCCTAAACAACTGCAGGGATTCACTTGAGAATTTGGTTCATTGAGATAGTAACAATATCTCATCCTTGATATTCTAAGGGTATAAATCAATTATGATTGATTTATAATTTCTTTTTTGCGTTACACCCTCCCCCCAACTTAGTTTATGTCATGAATACCCTTTGAATACGAAGGATGAGATTTTATTTCAATTTTTTTTTTTTGAAAGGCGTTTAAACCAGCAACTGGTTTCATGCTTTGATCTACTGTATGGGGGCAATTGAAGTTTTTTTCTTTTTTTCACCAGAACTACAAACTTGACTGGTTGGGTTTGATTTAGCCACGTGTCACTTGTCGTCCTCCGGTGGCCGAACGGTGCTATTGCAAGACATCGGGAGGAAAATGGCATATTTTTAAAAATCGATACCAAAGAGAGGGCAACTTCCGAGAGAGAGAGAGAGAGAAGGAGGGAGGGAGGGAGGGAAAGAGAGGAGAAAGAGAGAGGGAGAGAGAGAGGGAGGGGGAGAGAGAGAGGGAGAGGGGGGAAGGGAGAGAGAGAGGAGAAAGAGAGGGGATGGAGGGGGGGAGAAAGGAGAGAGAGAAGAAAGGAGGGAAGGGCAGAGAGGAGTAAGAGAGAGAGGGGATGGAGGGAGGGACGGAAAGAAGAGGGAGGAAGAGAGGAGGGAGGGAGGGGGAGAGGAGGGAGGGAGAAAGAGAGAAGAGGGAGGAGGGAGGGGAGAGAGAGATGACTTACAACAGCAGTGAAAAAGCGCCTTGCAACGGATTCTTGTACTTATCACTATCACAACATCGTGACAGTCGCACAATCAAAATTCAGATGTTTCGCCAGCATCGATGGTTACAGCATCCTTGCCTCCTGGGATCACCGTTTTTTTTGCCAGCTTCTGACCAGGAAAGTCATTGGCGGAAGCCAGACTCGTTTAACAACCATGTGATTCATTTAATAACTTCGGTGATTCACTCGGGGCTGATCGTTTTCTTTGCTGTTCATAGAGTTTTCCTCACTCTGAATGATAGGCACATATGCAAAATTCGAATGACTTAAAAGATAATATTCAAAGAGCAAGTCTTTTTTTTTAATCTAATAATGTCGTGCCCTATCTTCATCCTCATTTAACAACCCCATAATCCCTTGCGGAGCAGAGTCCTGGCAACGGAATGGAGTCGAGTGTTTACTGGCCGGATCGCCCTTCCTGTTGCCAAAGTGGAGTTTTGTTCGGCAGATACAGTCTTCATTGTGCCCAGAGAGAGAGATATCTGCCTCTACCTAGGATCAAACTCCCAGCCTCCTGATTGTTAGACAAGAGCTCCACCTCTAAGCCACCGCACCAGAATAGACAGTCACATAATACAACCAATAAGTCTACGTAAAACTTTCAGCGGACAAAAAGAAATCACACGAAAATAATTATTTACCAAAGAAATTATTTTTCTTTATTGCTTTCTTTCTCACTGGGATTTTATGTACATATGTAAATATACAAATAACTAAAACAAACAAACAGACGCGCTCCTAGCACTCGTACATTTTACAAGGTCTTGCAAAAGCTGAATATACAGCAGCGGAGAGAAAGAGGCTCCTCAAAACCTTGAAAAGGAAAGCCTCAAATGAAATTCATTTCATTTCATCTAAGCAGAATGGAAGCTGAGTATTTCTGTTTCCCAAGTTGCCACCGTTCACTGCCATTTTAACGAGCGCGGCCAAATTCTTTGGGACAAACCAGAAAGGAAATTTTTTTTTAAAAAAAAAATAATGTTTGGGGTTGTTTCTCTTCTTTTGGAGAAACTTCTTACTTGAACTGATTGTCGATAAGCGTCCCTTTCATTTTGGCCTTCTTGGCTTCCAGCTCGGCCTGGTCAAATTAAAAAAACAAAACGGAAAAGCAAGCATTAAAGAAATAGTCTTACTAACGTTTCTCTCTCAACAGAAGGGGAGGAACACACCACCATCAATCTCCGGTCTACAACACAGTCCTTTCAGCAGTTCCAAGAAGGCTCCACACCCATTTGCACCACTCAGGTGACCCCGAGGACACAGATAAACCTCCAAGTGGCCTTCATGACCCTCTAAAAGGATGCAAATCAACAGCGGTCTGCAAGGAGTATAAATCCTTCCATTCCCCACCATCTGGTCAGAGCTGAAGAAGCTTCTTGGAGGAGAAGCGAAATGTCTTCAAAGAAAAACACAGTGGTCTCTTGAAAAAACAAACACCTTTGGGACAACCATGACCTGAGAATCTCCACAGACATTCTTTCTAACACTTCTGA